CCTATCAACCTACTATAACATGGCACCTGACAAAGATGTCCCTTGTCTCCCTCAATTTTAGTTTGGTTTTTGAACCATTGGCTTCTTCTGTTATACCATCTTAAGATAATAAAGCTGTAGTGGCACTCAACACTGAATATAAATTGTTCTTATATGCCGATGATATTACAGATTTTCTTGATAACTATGCAGTGTCATGACCAAAGTATGTTCAAATTATACAGCATATACAGTATACAGAACATACAGTTTAGATTCTGATTATATTATGAATTGCAGAAGTCTAATTTGTTGCCTTTTGGATCTACTATACCTATAAATTTGGATGGAAAGTAAAGACAAGAACAACCAAACCGGAAGGTGGATGGACTCAGCTATAGTGGTGATGGGTACACCACTGAAAAATCTGAAGGACCAGGTTAGGGACAGATTGTCATGGAGAACATCTGTCTTGGCAAACACTGAAAGTTGACACTGTCTTGATGGCACAAAATCAAAATATCTATAGATTACTATAGGAGAGGTTCACCTTAATATCAACCCGTTTATCCATCTGAGTTTCAGAAAAAGTCATGGCTAATAATCAATTTTACAGCATCAGAATTAACACTATTCCAAGTACAGACAGTCCTCTACTTACGAACTTTTTGAGTTACAAACTTTTGCCAATATGAACAACCTTCCGCAACTCCAACCTAGAAGGTCCTAGAAGATGGGAGAGGGTTAGTTTATGGCACACACTGGAAGGCATGTTTATACTTGGTTGGACTTACAAACAAAATGGACTTACAAACAGCCTCTTGGAATGTAATCTGTTCGTAAGTAGAGGTCTGTCTGTATTTTACAACTTCTGTTCCTTTATTTATTCATAGAACTCTCTCAATATTCTAAAAAGAAATATGTAACTTTTTTTAAAATCTACCGATCTGATTTTGGTCAAGTACATAAATACATAAATCCACTTCCAATATTCCAACTCCTGAGCAACTTACCTGTGATGAATTTGATGGCCTTAAACTTATCCTCCAAAGTAGCTTACTACCAGGTATAACTTGCACAGTCTCTTGAATCTCTGGCATATCATCAGCTTCATCATTTTCAGGATCATCTCTCTTAAAATGAAATAATTACATATAATCAATCAAAAGAGCATCAAGGAACTTTGGAATTACTTTCAAACCCTGCATGGGTTCCATTTAGGCACAACACTTCCTTTTTTCTTAAACCAAAGGCTCTGGAGATTTTAAATATAAAACTATGGTTTAAGGCAGTGTTTCTCAACCTTGGCCACTTGAAGATGTGTGGACTTCAACTGGAGATTTTAAATATAAAACTATGGTTTAAGGCAGTGTTTCTCAACCTTGGCCACTTGAAGATGTGTGGACTTCAACTGGAGATTTTAAATATAAAACTATGGTTTAAGGCAGTGTTTCTCAACCTTGGCCACTTGAAGATGTGTGGACTTCAACTGGAGATTTTAAATATAAAACTATGGTTTAAGGCAGTGTTTCTCAACCTTGGCCACTTGAAGATGTGTGGACTTCAACTCCCAGAATTCCCCAGCTGGCTGGGGAATTCTGGAAATTGAAGTCCACACATCTTCAAGTGGCCAAGTTTGAGAAACACTGGTTTAAGGGCTCCCAATAGCAACCCTTTCCCCCACATTACCCAATTTGGATATCTTTGGGGGTGGATTTAAAAACCACAAAGAGCCCTCTGATGTTGGATAAAAAAAATGGGAAGAAGAAACAGGAAAGACAGAACATCCAAGCTCATTTATGGTGCAATGAATACCTATCTACTGAAGCAGCCACATTATGGCTCAATCAGGGAAAGTCTTACTCTCATTCACTGCAGCACAGCCAATTTATTACATACTTATATACATACATACTCCTTATACTATTCCTTTCCAGGCTAAGCTATGTTATTCAAAACAGGGGAAAAAAGGAGTAACAAGTATTAAGTAAATAAGTTAAAGGCAGGAGATATAAAGAAGCAAACTGTATCTAGTTCACATCATCCCTGTTAATTTTACTTCCCCATATTTTCCTATCCTTAACAACCATCTTTAGAAGAAAATATGTGTAGCTTAGGGTTGAACTGTGGAGTCCTTGGGGTTCTCTGAGCTTGGTTGAACCAAGCTCAGAGAACCTCAAGGACTCCACAAAACCATCTTTGCTTCAGCCACATCCATATACCAACTCATACATTACCTTTTATTCATTAAAGTCACTTCTCTTCCCCATGCCAATGTCTGTTCCTACCTTATTCTCACTTTTGTTCTATTCATCACAATCTCCCACACCCACAAAGATTAAAAATCCTTCTTTCAATTTCACCCCTTTGCCTGCTCATTTTATCAACAATTGCTCTAGAAGCCCCCCTTTTGTTCTGGTGCTGTTCTTCTGCCTCCCCACTCCTCTGGGGATAAATGTGCTGGCTAGAAACCAATGCTGCTTTTAATATTAAATTCTAGGCAAAAATAACCACAGAGCTTCAGCTGCATATAATTAGTGAAGCAATCAGCAACAATCTATAAACTGAAGTAGGCATATGAAGTAGTCTATGGTAAGTCTCCATCTTATCCCTTTAACTTCTAAGCATTTTAAAATGTTTTATTATTAAACAATATTATAACGTTTCGTGCATTATGAACAATCTCGGTCTGAATCTTCTATCCCAGCCATCCATCCTATGGCTTAACACCAAGGACTCTGATTAAAGCAAAGTTTTCAGTTTTTATTATGATTAAGAAGAAAAACATTCTCAAGAAGTATCAAATCAATGTCTAACAACTCGTAAAGTATGAACTAATCAGGAAATTTGATTTTAAGGAGATTATAATTTGATGATGCTTGGAGATTTGTTATCAGCAAAATACTGAACAAATGGGAAGCAAAATGACAGCATTCTCCTGTTCCTAAAGAGATTTCTTTAAAGATTTAATAGAATTGTTGATTCTGTATTCAAGAATTAGAACATAAATGTACAAAATTAAAGCACATGCTCACTTTACAGCTTAAAAAATGCACATCTGAACCATTCCCATCTTAAGACTTTAAGACAGGAAGTTGTGTAACTCTCTCAAAAAGTAACTTTGCCCAGGGCCCATTCCAAAAAGGTACTGCATTTCCCACTGAAGATAGCAGAATTATATTCAATGCTGCATTTTCATTCAGGCTCTTTGATCTAGAGAAGCCCCCAGGAATGGAAGAGGGAACAAAACGATTCTCACTAATTCCCCCTTTCTCCTGCGATCTCACAGTCCTCCAAGGGTTCTTGAAATCCCTAGAAAAGACCGGGAGCCATTGCAATGAATTGCAGAGGGAAGGGAGAGCAATGGAAAGAGATGTACAACATTTCCATATAGTCACTGGTTGCCCAGAACACAACTCTGGGTATTCCCAGAACTTAACAATATAAAAAGATGGCACTCTTAACATAACCTAAGCAACAATCATCTCATTTGCACTATATCCTATTTAGAGAACAATTTTCTTAAGAAGTGCAAGCTCTGCTTTGCATAAAAATTACCGGCTTTGGTTTCTTCTGATCACCACTTCTCCTCTCATTCTTCTTGGAGTTTTCATAAGTGTAAGGATCAATGCACCACAAACATTCTGTCCATTTCCCATAGATCACTGAGAGTTTCTTCTTACTGTTTTTAAATGAAACTTTAGTTCACTCAAATGTTCTATATTTCCAGCCTAGTTAAAATCTGATAGAATCTAATTCAGCCTAAGTGTACAAACAAAATAGGTATTATTCTTAATATGGGCTTATGTGGACAATTATGAGGTTAACCTTTATAATATGGAGGATTTCTCACTCTAGCTACCAGCACTGTAATGTTATTTCTCTTCCCCACATCAGACGATCTGGAATAGGGTGGCAAAAACACCCAAGGTGACATGAAAAGCTATCATATCTGCATTTGCTGGAAAGAATGAAAACTCAAAATGTAGAAACACAACCTCTAGTAGCATTCAGCATATTCTCACTTTAGGATCATACCTTCCACACCTTGGATCTTTTGAGAAACTAACTATAAACACATAAATGTTTAGAGAAAAAGCAATCAATTTATTCCCAAAATAGAAATCTAGAAATTAAATTAGATGACTTTGTTATTGTAGATATTTCAGTAAAATGGGAAAATGGGAATATGATGGGATGGGATGGGTTGGCAGATTTATAAAACAATCTTATATTTACTTTATACCCCAGACTGCAGGAATTAATAATAAAATCCAGTATTGGGATTCTAGTTTTTCTTATTATGCATATTTTAAAAATAGAGCCCCTTTTTCTCCCTTTGGGTCCTTCTAAAACAGAAGCAATAGCTACTAGCTTTCAGCAACCCCACCACCTTCCTTTCTTGCTTGAGGCCCAACTCAATGGACCAGAATGACTGCTTAAGGTCAAAGTGTTGTTCCCATTGTGCCCAAAAGGGAAGACAAGAACCCCTTCTTTTGTTTATGAAATTTGTTCCAAGCAGGGAAAAAATAGATAAACTTTTAAAAAATACTAAAACTACGCATTTACGTGATACACAGTGAGAGCACATTTGAGGGCTTACTTGGATGAGTTCTGGATCAGTTTTACTGCGAGAGGAAAAAGGGTGCTAAACCAGAGAGGCATGCAAACTTTTTCAGGCTATGGAACCTGATTGTTTTTTAAAAAAGAAATTCCTGGGACCCCTGATCAAGAGGTGTAGGACTTCTGAATGTCAGATGACTAGCTCTGCCCTTTCCACCTGTGACCAAGAAAGAAAAAAACCTCTCCGCCTTAGTCCCTTGGAGCAGGGTTCCTCAACCTTGGAAACTTTAAGATGGGTGGACTTCAACTTCCAGAATCCTGGGAGTTGAAGTCCGCCCATCTTAAAGTTGCCAAGGTTGAGGAACCCTTCCTTGGAGAAAGGGTCCCCCCCGCCTTAGTCCTGCAGAACCCATTCATGGCACCCAGTTTGGACAGCCCCAAACTCAGGAATGGTAATGAAACAACTATTGGAGAAGCAGGAAACCACACAGACCACTTACTTTTTGTCCTGAATGTAGCCCTCTATTCTGTGAAGCTCTTTACCAAACAGCCCACATGGTTTAAAGTTAAGAATACATTTATCTCCAGTACTATAAAAGGAAAACAAAACAGATTACAAAGCACTGTGATCTCATAATGGAAAAAGCTTCTCCCCATTCAGCCTCCGTATCATGTAACGTTGCTAGTCACTGCGTTCTGACCACCACAGGCACTCCTGGAGAGTTTTAACGTGGTTTGGGTGGGAGAGAGGGCCTTTTGTTCCAGGAATGGAAAAGAAAAATGACAAACTAGACCAGCAGGCACGTATAAGGCCATCTTCACACCTAGAAGGATGTTCAACACTGTAGCCATTGCATCATTTATTTGTTTATTTATATTTAAAATTTGTCATTGCCCGTCTCACTGTGGAGTGACTCTGGGCAGTTTACAGTAAAAATAGAATAAACATTAATTAAAATAGATAAATATTAATGAAAATAAATAATAATGAAAAGGCACAGCAGATCTTAAATTGGTTTCTTTGGACAGATATTTCAGTCCCATTGAGTTTAAAAAACAGAATCGCAGACTGCACCAGAAGCAGTTTTCTTTGTAAAGTTTTTGCACCCAACTCCTAAACAGCTTGTTGAAGTTGAGCAGCTTTAAAAATTCTTTAGGAGAAACATCTTCAGAAGGAAGCTTTCAGAAAAACTCCAGCAGTAGCAGAGACTTCTCACATATTCTGCTCCCTGCATTAGAAAGAAATCTAACATTTCTCTAACACAGGCTCATCCCTTCCCACCCAAACAGAAGAGATTAAAATCCATCCAAACAAATCATTAACCCCAAACTGCTTCTGCCAATGGTCAGAACCAGATGGACACACTGATGATTACATCTTCAAGTTATATATTACTTCTGACAGTTTTTAGAATGCGTAATGTGATATAAATGAGTTACCTGTGATTTATAATTTCTACGGTTCCATACTGTTCTATCCAGAGCTTGCCAATAATTACATTATGTACACAACAGGTAGGGTTAGTCCAAGTGTAAGCTTCATTATGTCTATGAGTGGAGAAAAGAAGGCTGATCAGATGCATGGAAAATAAAATGAAAAAGAAAAAATGGTATTTGAAATAAACTGTCATGTATCAATTCCAATTTATCATGCAATAAACACTTGCTTTTTGCACTGTGCATTTGACCTTTGACCATGTACAATGATGCATATGAAAAGGGTGCTACAGAGCATATGAAAGAAAATAAACAGATTTGCTTTGTTATTAGGCACTCATACGGATGACATTCCAAAAGAGATTAAAAGCCTGGTTATTCTCCCAAGCCTTGGGGTAGGATGATGGTAAGCCCTGTAAGATTCACCTACATACAAGAGTCGCTTGTTGAGATGGGCAGCTATACAAATTGGGAAAGAAAGAAAGAAAGAAAGAAAGAAAGAAAGAAAGAAAGAAAGGAAGGAAGGAAGGAAGGAAGGAAGGAAGGAAGGAAGGAAGGAAGGAAGGAAGGAAGGAAGGAAGGAAGGAAGGAAGGAAGGAAGGAAGGAAGGAAGGAAGGAAGGAAGGAAGGAAGGAAGGAAGGAAGGAAGGAAGGAAGGAAGGAAGGAAGGAAGGAAGGAAGGAAGGAAGGAAGGAAGGAAGGAAGGAAGGAAGGAAGGAAGGAAGGAAGGAAGGAAGGAAGGAAGGAAGGAAGGAAGGAAGGAAGGAAGGAAGGAAGGAAGGAAGGAAGGAAGGAAGGAAGGAAGGAAGGAAGGAAGGAAGGAAGGAAGGAAGGAAGGAAGGAAGGAAGGAAGGAAGGAAGGAAGGAAGGAAGATTTGGTTTTGTTTGGTATTTTCCTTTCTGGATGCAAATTTCTGTGTCATTTTTTACTTTATTAATTGGGATGTTATTGATGTAAAGTGCCCAGACTTGCCAGACATTCTTTAAATTTATGTAAATAAATAAACAATGTTTATTAAAATAAAACTGAAAACAAACCAGTTTTTAAAACCATAATACAATCAACAACAAAGTAACAACAAACAAGATGGTTGGTGGCATAATCTGAAAATAATAAAATGTCACTTTAAAACATTGTTTTCTAAAGCAAAAATTGATTGGCGGGAAGGGTACCATGATAAAAGATTGTTTTGAAGTTACCTAATAACCTGAAAAGATTGGTAGTGATTTGTAATAGCTTCACACTGTAGGTAGGTTAGGCTAAAGTAGTAGATATAAGCAGGGGATTTTACTGGGGCTTCTAAACCAAAATCATACATTTCTGCCAGCACCAACACCCTTGAAACGTTTGAAACTTACTCAAGATATGATTTCACCAAATATAAAATCCTAGAACTGACAACATAATGTTTAGTAAAATATGTCCTCGATCTACCAAAGGCAGAACATCAGCAAACTGAAACAAGTCATAAATTACATATTAAAATGTTTAATTCTTTCCTCATCCACCATTTACCCCATATAAACCCTCTATCACAAATGTTTCTTCACTGGAGCAAAACACATGTAAGCAAATTAACAGAGAAAATGCCACTTTAAGCGGACATGGCATTAAAAAAAAAAGGCCAGACAAATGTCCCTTTATTATTTTGAATGGTCCCCAGGGCCAATTCATTGAAATGTGGTATTTTTTCTGTCTCTTTTCTTTGCACAATTGTGGATTATGTCCAGAATTAATATTCTCTTCCAAGTTCATACTTGATCAAAACAGTGGATAGCTTAGATTTCTCTGTATGCCTCCTAATGATTATAATATGACCAGCAATATATTTTTATTTCCCCCCAATGGAATAAGTGCAGTCTAGATCAGAAAACCTGACCTCTCCAAGCCCTGATAAAATATACTACAACCCCTCCGCATATGATTTTAATGGATTAATTAATTTTAATTATTTATGGGGTATTTTTAATTGTTTATGGGTT